GTTCATCTATCTGAAATTAAGGCCTTAAATTTTCTTGAATTCATTTTTTAAAAGTAAATACATTAATCGCTCTTCTTGGCAGGCGATTTAATCTCAGATATTCTTTATGTATGTTGGGCCTTTGAGGTTACTCACTGTTAGCATGTCCTTGTTAGCCAGTTAGCTTTTTTTGTATTTATAATGGATAAATGCAAATTTATTGCCAGTTGGCGAGACAAAGTTCATACATTTTTGAGGAGTTATAGGTCTTAAATTCCACCTATGGCCTTAAAATATCTTAAATTAATTTTACAAAATGTAAGTTGGCTTGAAATACATTAATCATAAGTCTTAAATTTGTTTCTGCAGAACTATTAAATCTTGTACGTTCCAGTTATTGTGAGACTTTTGAGGCTAATTTACATTCATAATGGTCTGAATTTTGAGTTGTGGAAACTTGCTTTTAGGGAAAGGAAAACATTAAATGCCCTGCTTGGTTCCCTTCATTCGTCTTTTTCAAAGCAGCTTCCTGTGATGAAATGAAGCTTCAACTGAAGATGCAGCGGGATTTGAACCTGCAACCGTTCAGCCAGTCATTTCTCGGGCACTCATTAAATATCTCTGTTCAATTTTTTCCATTTCCCCAGATTTGATTTGGAAATTTAAACAGAAAATTCCTGTTTTCACGTCTGTTGAACCCGCGGCTGCTTTGTTTAGTCGGAGGCGATACGATCGCTGCAGCGCTGAAGGAAATGTTTAAAGTGTAAAGTTGATGAGGAGCGTTTCCTCGTGACTCTGATCAATAAGTGGCTCCTCTCCAGCTCCTGTCTCTGTGTCAGGTGCCATCCTCCTCCTCATCTTCGCCTCCTTTCTCTCTCTCTGAATTTGCTCTTTTCATGTTTCTCTTCAGGAGTCTGTGATTCTTCTTCTGCAGCTCTCAGGTCTGATGTCTTTTCTGCGCCGTGTCGGCGGCGACAGCTCGGCTGCCGTCTGTTTAATCAGCTTGTTGAGCGTGCAGGTTTGATGTGCCTTGTCTCTGTGTTTAATCAGCCAAGCCGCTGGTTTGATGTGGACCCACAGTTAATAAAGCAGCATCTTCAGCTCCTTCATCAGCCGCAGCACTTTGTTCCGCCTCTCGTCGCGTCTCCGAGACAGACAGCTGCTCTCCAGTTTTCTAGTATTCCCGTAGCTCCGTATCTGTTCCCGTCTAATCTCTGTGACGATGGGAATTTTATTCATGTTAACTCGGAGCCAGAAGTTGCTTGTCTTCAGCTTAGAGGAACCGTTTGCCTGAAATACATCAGCCTGCTTCATTTAGCGTCTCAGAATGTCCGGATAATAAGACAGAAATCTGTTGTTGAGAACATCTTTCAGCTGATTCTCTATCCTGTTTGTTGGTCAGTTTTCTGTTTTTGCACTAGAAACTGGATCAAAATGACTTGGTAAGGGTCATTTTGATGTGTTGGTCACATGATCAGTGATGTAACATGATCGTTGCATGAATCAATCATTTATTTTCACATCCTCTCAGTTCAACAGTTCCTTATTAAGTTTCAGTCTGATACTAAGCTGCAGGCCAATGGAAACCTGTGGCACTTATTGCTGTTAGCATGCGTTATTTATGATTTACAGCTTGTTGCTTCTTATCAGAGCTTAAAACAGATCACAAATGACACCCAATGGCTGGAAATTTGCTAAAAACATTCACGCAAAGCTAATGTTTGACTGTTCAGGGCTCCACAGCTCAGTAGAAACTTTGTTCAAACTTTAATTAGCTCACAGAAAGTTGTGTTGATTAAATTTTATTTTTGATAACTTCTTTTATGCCACCAGTTTCCACCCCACATGTACAGTTTATACATCAAAACGTTGGTATTTTTCTCTGCTTTCACCCAGTGTGACTCCCACTGCTGTGGGACTTGCAGTTTTCTGTCAAACCAGCCCAGAGGTCACACACCCAACCTCTCATTCACTTCCACTTTAGAGCTGAAGGGTCTCTTAAATGTCTCATCTATCTACGTAAAACATTGTTCACATTTAAAAAATTAAATGTGTGACTGCTGGAAGGTTCTGAAACTCAGATTTGTTTTGATTTGTATTTTTCACACAGTCAGGTGAGCGGCTTAAGGAGAAAGGCAAAGTTTGAATAATTACCAAACTGGAGCTACAAAGTAAAAATAAAGCATTTTTTAAATCATCAGTTAATTTATAATGTTGAAAATTCATTAAATGCACCATAACTAAGAGCCTTAGCTGCTTTCAATCAGGTTTGCTGGAGTTTTTCTGAGTTAATAAAATCAGAAAAAGGCTTTGGTGCGTAAATTTGACGTAATCTTTGACTTCCTTGATTTCCTGTTTGATTCTAATTCATTATCTCCATAAGAATAAGAATGCTAAAAAAAATATGGCCAACAAAAGAGAAAACAACCAATGATCCAACAACTTTGAAAATGGATACTTTTTATAATAAATAAGCCAGTTTTGGATCTTTAATACAGATTTCATAAAAGGTTCAAACATGAAAAAAAAAAATCACAGTAACCAAGATTCAGCATTTTTAGTTTGATGGATTTGTAGTTTAAATTTGCCAGTTTTGGCCCTGGTTGCGCTAGCTAGCTGCTAATATGCCCACAAATTTATCACCAGTTGGCTGGAGGAAGTTTGAACATTTCTGTGGAGATAAAGGGTTTAAATTCCACTCACAATTGTCTTAAAAAGTCTTAAATTCGAGTTGTTGAAACCTGCAGAAACCCTGCGAAAGTTTTCTTGGCTCCAGAACAGGAACAGCTCGAGGTGTTCTCAGATCCTGGAAAGCCGGATAATTCCCAGTTTAATTGATGAGGCGCATTTGGAATAAGTCTTCTTGTTATTCCTCCATCTCTGGAAGCAGTTCAGACCCAATTTTCTAGGATATCTCGCCGGAGCAATTAACAACTTTAAGTTTGAGAGTAGTAATGAAGTAGAACATGGCTCACTTATCGAAAGGCCCTTCTGCCAACTGTCCGACACCGGAAGAGGAAGAAAGAAAAGGGGAAGATATTTCTGCCGGGATAAAAAGAGGCGGAAAGCGAAGCTGAGAGTTTTCCACACCATTTGATGTGTAAAAGCAGCGATGCAGCGATTGATTCATTAAACCACAGCGCTAACGAGGGGAGGAATCATAATTTAAACTTCCAGTTTGAACAGGATTTATAATTGGAATTTTACACACAGAAGTCCCTTTGTACAACTCTGATTAAAGTGAAATTAATTGTATGAAAATGTCCTTCCAGATACGGAAAATTAGATGGAGCAAAAGCTTGGACGACATGGAGCTAATTCTAAAAATATTTTCCACACCGAATCGATCTTTTTCTTTCTTTCTTTCTCTTTCCCTCTCCTCCTCTCTGTCTTTTTCTCTCTCTCTCTTTTTTTTTAATATGAAGGTCCAAATCTGCTGTTAATTTTTTATCTGAAATTAGAGTGAACCATGCAGGCGTGGAAGTTGAAATTAGCCTAAAGATGTTTCATTTACAAAGACAGAAACACTTTGTCAGCCGCCGATTGTTTCCCGGCATTATCTCTGCCTGCTTTTAATTGCTTTGGAAGTGAAATTAACAGAATTAGAAAAATTGCCTCTCCCTTTTTCTACAAGCTGCTTTATTCACGGGTATTGTTGTGTGCTTTGTATAGATTATAGACTCCTTTTGTTCCAGCATTGTAAATATATACGCCCCCCAGTCACGGCTTTAGAAACAACCCGCTAACCCCCGCCCCTCTGCTCGCCCCGTCCGCCAGTCTGCGCAGACTCCTGGAAATTAATTTGCGACCTGTTCTGGATCGAGGACTGGAAAAAAAATAATAAATTTTAAAAAATCCTGGATCTGTGTCGGGATTTGTTTCACTCAGAAAAATCATCTTCATCAGAGAGTGTGTGTGTAGATGTGTGTGCAGGCCCGGACCGTAAATATGGGAGAATATTGGATCTGTTAGAGCGCCATCAAAAGATCCATCCTATAGAGAGCGCATCATTAATGGAAGTCACTTTAAATCCATATTAACTGACTACTTCTTCTTCTTCTTTTTTTGTGGATGTAATCTTCAAACAGGCTAAAATAGATCAAAAGTACTGTATAATTACTCTGGTCAGCAGGGATTATGGGACTGTAATTGATAGCGATCAGCCCGGCACTAATCACTCTTTTAGCTGTAATTTTAGGTATACTGTCATTTGGCTCAGAGGTTCCCTTCGGCTTCGTGCTATTAATCTTCTGGATTAAACCGTTCAGCGTGTCCAATCCTGAAGCCCGTTTCTGAATTACTGTATTTAAAATATATATAAATATATGTGTTAAGGGCTTTAATTTGTTCCCTTTACAGTACAGGCATCCATCTTTGTAGAGCCATCTTCAGGAAAACAAAATTTATAGCTGAGCTAAACACACAATAACTTTTTGAATTAAATATGTATTAAATCAATAAATAAATGAAGCAAATTGTCTTAAAGTGTCTTGTAATGTAGTTTTTGCTCTTTCACCCTGAGGTCAGTTGGGATCTGTTATTTTTGTTGCCATTTCCCCCAAATTTTTGGTAATTAAATAAAAAAAGAGAGTAAGAGAAGGTAAGCTGAGAATGGACAGATGTGTTGTCAAATCTGAGGTCACAGAAATAAAGATTTAAAACATGATTTATCCAGTGAGAACTGGGAAATGCTACCTGAGTTCAGTTGGAGGAGACCTATCAAACCAGCACTGGACCCTGAGATTTAAAAGTTACAAATCTGTATGCAATACAGTCATATTTAATAAAATTTTATAAAACCGATGAGTTGCATTATTGCTTTGATTGAACCATTTTTACAAGAAATGAAAGCAAGGATGTTAAATAAATCCGAGAATATTGTAACAATTTAGGAATACAACTGCGTTATTTATATAAGGAAGCTCAATCAGTTTTTCTCAATTTACACAAATGGATAAAAGAAAAAAAACTCAATAAAATGAGTAAGGTTGATGTTTTTACTCTTATTTTCTCGGTCTCAGGTTCCCACGGGGATCTGGACGGTGGAGAGGAAAACACAGCGGAGACGCCGAGCGTATCAGGCGAGGAGGGCGGAGCCTCGGATCCAGAGGATTCAGCAGAAGGAGACAGCTGCAGCCCGCCATCGTACACGGCGCTCTACAATGAAGGTCATCCATCCATCCATCCATCCATCCATCCATCCATCCATCCATTATCCATCCATCCATCCATCCATCCATCCATCCATCCATCCATCCATCCATCCATCCATCCATTATCCATCCATCCATCCATCCATTATCCATCCATCCATCCATCCATCCATCATCCATTATCCATCCATCCATCCATCCATCCATCCATCCATCCATCCATTATCCATCCATCCATCATCCATTATCCATCCATCCATCCATCCATCCATCCATCCATCCATCCATCCATCCATCCATCCATCCCATCATCCATTATCCATCCATCCATCCATCCATCCATTATCCATCCATCCATCATCCATTATCCATCCATCCATCCATCCATCCATCCATCCATCCATCCATCCATTCATCCATCCATCCATCCATCCATCCATCCATCCATCCATCCATCCATCCATCCATCCATCCGTTTATTGGTTTATCCATCCATCCACTGCATTCTGGGAGATGTAGGCAGATGAAAGACTACTTGCTCAACTTCTCACGAGCTGAAAAAATGTTGGAATCGACTGATCCACTCATTCTCTGGTTACCTAGCAACCCACTCATTCTCTGGTTACCTAGCAACCCACTCATTCTCTGGTTACCTAGCAACCCACTCATTCTCTGGTTACCTGGCAACAACCTGTTGAGGAACACGCGCAGCAGCAGTTCAAGGTTTCACGATGATGCCTCACTGCTTCTTAAAAAAAGCAAAACAAAGGGGGGAGAGGAAAGGTCTCGCCACCAGTTTGGTTTCGTTTCAGATATTTAAAACAGAAACCGAATCGATGGTAAGATTGGCTCGGTGCATCAGTGACCTTTCCGACGGATTTTATTTCCACATCGATCCTCGAGTCAGCCAAAGTTTTCCTGTTATTCTGTCAGCAGACCTGTAACGTTCTGCAGAGATGCGGGAAAAATGGCTGCCGCATCGTTATGAGCTTGTGACTTCCACACGTGTCACTCTTTTATCTCTTCCAAAAAAACAAGACGAAGAAGAAAACATTTCTGCGGCCTTCCGTTAGTCTGTCCTCTTATCCCAAATCCCCCCACCTCTCCACCTCCATCACCATCTCCTGCCTTGTGATATCAGAGTTTTCTCTCATATTCTTTTGACTTATTCAAGATTTCCCCGGCTGTGTTTCTTTTTTAATCTAAAAAATAAAAAAATTCCTGCTCTTGTGAAATTTTGGGGCTGAGGCTGATAAGCGTCTGCTGTTTGGCTTGGTTTGATAAACCCATGGAAATTCGGTCAGGTGCTAATCGAGACCAGATTAGAGATTAGCCCAACGTGTGTGTGTGTGTGCGTGGGTGGGTGTGTGTATGCGCACGTTTGAGGTGAGCGGTGGGTTATGTGCTGATTAAATGAGAAGAAGAAGAAGATGAGAGAACTCAGGCATGCCTCACATGTGAGCCGGTTTGTCGATAGCAAACCGAATTGGCGTCCATTTTCCCCCGTTTGTGCATGTGTTTAGGCCTCACACACACACACACACACACACACACACACACACACACACACACACACACACACACACACACACACACACACACACACACACACACACACACCTCCTCCATCATCACAATGTTGATTTACTCCTCTTTCTCCTCTCCGGGGTTCCTCGGTTGCCCAGCGCTGCCATTATCAGCTCTCTGTAAATCAGCCATGTTTGACGAACCTGCTCTTTCAACCTGGGATCAATACCAGGTCGTTATCAGGCCAGCGCTGGCTAATAAAGGCAGGGCCTGTTATCCGCCATCTGGACGACACACACACACACACACACACTGATAACCAGGCTGATAACTTTAGCAAGAAAAACACATTCTAGCAGTAAGAGGCCTGAGTGCTCGCCGCCGGTTTATTAACGTTCATCGAAAGCGTCGTTTGTTAAGGAGCATCTGTTTTGCTCGTCTCTTCTACTCCTTTTTTTTTTTTTCTTTTCCTCTCTTTTCTCAGAATCGCTCTTCAGTTGCAGAGACCTACAAAAACAACAATTTCCTTTTTTTCTTCTTCTTCTTCAAACAATCATTTTTACACATCACAGGAAACGTGATAAAAATCCACTTCTGGCCTGATAAGTCGGCACGTCGCCTCCTCCTGACCTCTAATTGTCGTACCAACATCTCAGCCAATCAGCGGGAATTTTTAAAACATTTTTTTGTCTTGTAAACTGATTTTTTTTTCTTTTTGCAGTTTTTCATCAGCGTGTGATCGGCGATGATAGAAAAAGTGTGCGTGAGGCGTAAAGGAACAAACGGCAGAGGCGGTAATCTCGGGTTTCATCGTGATAAACAGCTCAAGACTGTACACCGGATTAGCAGCAACAGTCATTTCTTCACAGTCAGGATTCGCTGCTTTGTATCTGTCCGTGTAATTTAACAGCTGTCTGCCTGTTGGTTTGACAAAAGGAGCACTGTTTGCTTTAAAAAGTAAAAATATGACGTCTTTATTGCACGCTGTGGAGACGATTGCTTTGGGTTTTTATTTATTAAAATGTATAAAACTCTCCAAACTGACTGATTCACCACTGTGAACTGTTTTTTTTTTTGTTGTTTTCAGTTTGTTGCGTCACCAACCAATCAGAAGAAGTTCCCATCTTTAAATTTTGGGCTTTTATTGATTCATTTGAGTAACTATTATTTGTGGTGGAGATTTTTGCAACGCTGCAGCTGCAGTGACTTTTAAAAACGTGAACCGAGTTAATAGGATCAGGAAGACATTTTAAAATATTCTAAATAAAAAACAAAACATCAGAAACAAAAAATGAAATGAATTGTGAACCTTCTGTGAACAAAAGGGTTGTTTAAGACTAAAGCATCAAACTGAAGACTTTTCATCCAGTTTTTGTTTTTGATGTTTGGTAGCAACTAAATGTTTGTCAACCAGTTGGGATTTTAGTTGCTTTATCGATGAAACATAAAAAGCAGTGTTGTCATAAATAATAGCACAAATATTAAAGACTAATGATCCCATATTTGTTCAGCAGATTTGATATTTTCCTTCCTTTTCCAAACATTTTTTAGTAAATGCATTCTAAACCTGTTCACAGACTTTTAAAAAAGAGATCCATGCATTTTATTCAAACTGAAATATCAGCCGTCGTCGCTGCCTCTCCTTTGGGATCCACTGATTTCTGCTGTTTCGGCTTCAGATTGTTAAGAACGATACGACTCGACTCCTGACAGCCACATAAAACCAATAACGCATCTTGTAGGAGTCGCCAGATGCAACAGCGGCAAGAATAACTGGAACAACGCAGAACAGGAGGAAGAAACGTCACAACAAGTATCTGTGAGCTGTTTAGAAAGTCCTGTTGGTGGTTCTGACCCATGTTGCGTAGAACCGGAACCAGGGTCAGAGGGGGCTGCATGCGATTGGACCGTTTAGCATGTAGCAGAAAGGAAACATTCAAGCACACAAAGGATGAAGTCGGAGGGCTGTTGGAGTTGGGAGGCGAGAGAATGCTGGGTGACTTTGCCCTGCAGGTGTGACAGGGGAAGTTCAGCTTATCAGATTGATGGAAACTGCCTCGCTGAGGGGGGAGGAAGAGGAGGAGGGCGAAGAAAAGGGGGGTGGGAGTTGGCAGAAAAGTGTCTGTCGACTCCTCCTGATACCTGCCTCCCTGTCTCAGATGATATGGGAGATAATATTGATAATATTAAACGCAATAACTGTGTCTGCAGCTCCCCTCGTGCTGTAGCCCCTGCAGGATAAAATCAATGTGCCATTCAATGTGATTTATAGCTGAAAATAATGGCACTGTTTAGGCAGGGGGGGGCTGTGTGTGTGTGTGTGTGTGTGTGTGTGTGTGTGTGTGTGTGTGTGTGTGTGTGTGTGTGTGTGTGTGTGTGTGTGTGTGTGTGTGTGTGTGTGTATGGGTGTGTGTGTGTGTGTGTGTACAGTACGTCTTGTGTGAGGATTTGAAACCGTTGGAAAGTGGACGTGACGTGAAACTGGATGTCTTCTTTCTTTAAAGCAGCCTCTCAACTCTTTCGTTAATAACGACGGTGCGCGAAGGCGTCACGGGGCGTTTATGGCCCGTATCGATCGGGCGCTATCGCTGTTTATCGGAGCGGGAATGCAAGGGTAAACACGGCCTTTGTGCACACGGCTGCAGCGTTATCGGGGCAGGGGCTGCAGATTGGGCGGGATTTGGGGGAAGAGGAGAAAGGAGGAAGTTAAAGTCTGGAGTTTTCAGAATGGCGGAGGCAATTAGGACTCAGAGAAAAACAGATTCAAGCTTTTTCAGCTCGGATGACAAGTTTTCAAAAACATCCTTTGATTCAGTCAAAAACATGTTAGGTTGTTAAACTGCAGAAACACAACATCGTACGCTTGAATTAAGACAGAACTATCTTATAAATAACTTTTTACCAAGACATATAATCTTTAGCATGTAGCAGAAAGGAATTAAGTCAATAATTCATAAATATTGATAAAAAAGTACTAGTTCCATTAGCGAATTATTGTAATTTCACTTGTAAGGAGACATTTTCCCTGTTATGAGTGAAATAATCTGCCAGTCAGTAAAACTAGGCTAGGTTTAGCATTACTCGGTATGCTGTGCATAGATAAATAAAAACAACGAAAGCTAAGCTAAATTCAAACACGTTTGAGCGCTTTCTCACTTCATTCTACCTCAAGTTAGTTTATTTTACCTTATTTTTGTTTGTAGCTCATTTCCGCTAAATTTACTTTAGTACAGTTTGACCTACTAAACACAATTAAGGTCAATTTAGTCTAGTCTGACTTAGCAAAGCTTGTTTCACCTTAACATAACTCAGATTTGCTTTTTCTCGTCTTAGTTTAGCCTTTCAGATGATAAATTACATCAACTGAGTTCAATCTCAGCTAAACTTTCTCCCTGTTAGATTATTTTAGCCTTGCTTACATATCCTGGCTCAGCTTTCCTCACTTAAGCAATTAGTTTACCCAAATCTAAGGATAGATAAACAAACAAACCTTCAACAGTGAGCAGTTTTAGAAATATATTGTTTATCGGATTCTTGGCCAAAGCAAACAAGTGAAACGTATTAAGACTGATCCAAAATGAAAAAACATCATTTAGCTGAAATTTGACTTTTTGCCAAGTTCTCAAATGTGATGTTTTGTTGACTCAGGTTAAATAAATGGTACTAAACTTTATTTTTCTAACATCCTGTTGGTAACAACACCTGAAGATCCAATCTAAAATTGTTCTTTGCTAAGGTTTGTTGTGTTGACAATCTTAGGAGCTATTTTGCCTTAATGACTCATAACTCAAAGTTAAGTGATTGTAACATTCCTCTGAAATGGCCCTGGACCGAAAGTTAGAAAGAAAGCAACCAGAAAAACTGCAAATAAATAAAACCGGTGGGCTCCAGGATTTCAGCCGGTGATCATTATTAAGGAGGCTAATCCTGACGTGTCAGACCCAGGTCCATGCAGTCAGCTGACCCTTGGCCTGATGATGTTGTAAGACAGATCCCCGGTCAGATAATATGATATGCAATGATGCAACTATCAATCTAATCTAACGAATCATGACTTGTGCTAATAAGGAGAGGCCCGGAGGTCTGATGGACTCACTGATACCACCAGGCAAAGTTCAGGGTTAATATATGTCACACACAGCCTGATATTCTGAACCCAGCATGCCCAGGATGTCTTTGATCAGGCAGCAAGAGGCTGGCTAATCAGCTTGATCAATGACGGGGATATCAGAGCTGATTAGCGTAACACAGGCCGCCTCAGTTTCTTCTGAAGGTGACGGTGGGACGGCAGGAAGCGAAGCAGATGGAAAGATTAGAGGAGGGAACGTTGCACGAGACCTGCCTTCATGCAGGGCAGGAACGGGAGAAAAGCAGACAAAAAGAGGAATGAGTGGAGAGCGCACACTGCAAAGACACGAGTTTATAGTGCTAATACTTGTGAAATAAGTCAAAACTAACTAGCATGCAACTTTTCAGCAACGTGTCAGAGCTTGTTTTGAGTCAGGGTGTCCAAACTTTGGCCAAAATCACCAATTCAAAAGTTCTGGTGGGTCAAAAAAATGTGAACTCAGTCAATCAAATTGAAACATCACATTTTGTCAGGTTCCATCGTTACACGGCAGACTCTTTATTAATGTGTCATTTATTAAAATAATAAATAAATAATAGACTAAAATAAAAATCAAGCAGTTAAAGGTTTTATTATAGCAATAGTACACTTCTACACACTTTCTATATTTATTTGAGTTTAATAAATTAAATAAAAGCTGATTTAGCCACAGTAAAGTTGGTTTTTCAGTTAAAAGCATGGTTATAAAAATACAAATACTTTCTCTTGTACTTTACATTTTCTATTGTTAGAGAATCAAATTGGTTATATTTTTACCCTGATTACAAATAAAAGGTTTGCATCTGCAACTTCCGGGGCTAATTTGTGTCATTCTTGAGTTGCACTTGCAGACCACACAAAATCCCTGCAAGGGCCACAAATGGCCCCCGAGCCACACTTTGGACACACATGTTTTATGTAAATAAGTCCTTTATAAGTACAAGTTTCACTACAATAAGATATTTTTTCCGGTTCTGAAAAAATCTGCCAGTGGATCAAGAACGTTTTCATCAATATTAAGGAATTATTAACTCAAAACTAACTCTTTTATACTTATAATGTCACTTGTAAGTTTCCTTTTTCGTTTAAGTATACTTAGATATTTGTAACAAAATTTTCTGGATGACAAATTCTCTAAATTATTACTAAGACAAAAAATTGTATTGTTTTTTATTTTTATTTTTATACCTTTTCCAAGTAATATAATGGTAACAGCATAATAATAATGCAAAAACACATTCTCAAAGATCAATAAATATTAAATTCTAATAAACATTCGAGACTGGAAGAAATTTAAAATAGCCAAAATTAATGAAACAAAACAACAGAAACAACAAATTAAATGAGTTCTGAACCGTCAGTAAACAAAGTTTTCCTTCAAAAAACAGTTTAGTTGAGACCAAAACACTGAAGACTGAAAACTTTTATCGTCCAGTTTTTAGTAGAAAGAGAGAAGAAGAGAAAAACAATAAATCATGCAATTATTATTATTATTATTATTATTATTATTATTATTGTGTCCTAGATATTTGCATTATGGACCCAAAATACCTGGTAAGATTTCACTGCTGCCTTTAACAGCAGAAAGGAAGAGCACACACACACACACACACACACACACACACACACACACACACACACACACACACACACAACACACACTAGGGTTTGACCTGCTGCATGTTTGATTCAACTGGAGCTCTTTGTGTTTCCAGAGTCGGGGATGCAGGACTCAGGAGGAGGAGCCGACGATGATGATGTCGAAGGGGAGGAGCCGGCTGCTCTGCAGAGTGGCAGCGAGGAGGAGGAGGAGGATGGGGAGGAAGAGGAGGAGATGCTACAGTGGAGCGGTCCAGGTGAGAGTCGCCACATTGGTACAATCATGATTACACGCTGCGTTTTAATTAACTTCATATCTCAGTTTGATAATCTAAGCTTGTTTTCACATCTGGTTGCTTCAAAAGTGCAGTTTGGTTTTACACTGCGATCAACCAAACCGCACTGTAAAAACACAAAATCTCACCAGATATTCTTTGTCTAAGTGTACCAGATCATATCACCAGAAATACGTACGAGAAATTCTAGTATTGTTTGGCTGTACTTACCCAGAATGCCCTGCGTCATAGTCCACTTCCTGCTTTTGGAGCGGACTCCGCTCCGCTTTGTGTTCACATTCGAACCACACCAGAGTTCACTTGAACCAAATTGAAACCGAGGTTTGTAGGCGGGGCAGAATTTTCTTTATTTTCGTTTCTTTCTAGAAAAACGATCCGGACTTTGATTAAACCCGACTAAACGTGGCTGGTGTGAATTCACCTAAAACCTGAAAAACATCAACATGTTTAAAAACGGATTGTTTCTACCAGTCTTCCCTTCAGAGTTGCTTCACTTCATTGTTCCCCATTAAAACTGGTCTAATCTGGACTTTGACTAGGCCAGTGGAAGTCCTTGATTCTTTTGCTTCCATTTCTTCTTTGTTCTTTTTTCCCTTCATTGTGTTTTTCACATTTACTTGTGTGGTTTCCTTCCTTTCACAATCCCTTACTGGAATTTATTCATTCTTTGTATCGTTTATTTCTCTCTTCGTGTCTTTGTATCCTTCCCTCTTTCCTTCCCCTCTTGTTTTTCTCTTTCCTGGTTAGAATCTGCTGTTGTAAAACTGTCAGCTCTGAGCAATAATACTTCATATTTCAGAACAAACGTAAAGCTTTCATCTCCTTCATTTTCTCAAGTGGATTGTTTCCTCCGTTTTCCTCTCCTTCTCTTGTTCTTCTTCTTCTCTTGTGTCCTCGTCCTCTGAGGTCTTCCTGGTCCTGTTGTGTTGCCACAGACGTGAAAGTGACACATTAAAGTCGCAACAAAAAACAACAAAAAACAAAACACACACGGCGGAGAGCAGATAAGAAGTAAATAATTTTATTATTTATTTCCTCTCTTATCGAGCTGCGTTCGGTTATTTATTTCTCTCTGTCTGTTGTCTTCAATGAGTTAAACAATGCAGGAAGATTACTGCACTATCTCGCATTATTTCCTTTTCAAGCTGTGCACGTTTTATGTACGTCCATGCGCCTCTCTCTCCCCGTGTGTGTGTGTGTGGGTGTGTGTGTTTTAATTCCTCTGCCGGGGAAGAGAGGATGTGTTCATTATCGTCCTGTCCCAGCCTTGTCCCTTTAACAGTAATTGGAGCGATATTAATTGCTGCGCGGTGGCTGGTTGATGCTAGCACCATGATGCTGCACTGATACGGCCCTTCTTTTCCTCTCCTCCTCACAAACTAACTGCCGGCTGAGTGAGGAGGAGGAGGAGGAGGAGGAGGAGGAGGAAAGGGGAGGCAGAGTAAGGGAGAGAGATAGCCCCTCTATCAGCTCCGGAGCAGGCGCTGTCTTTATCAGGAGCACGATTGGCAAAAAGGAAACTTTGACCGGTCTGAATTTTTCTCTTATCGTCAAGCCCCCCGTTCCTCCTCCTCTTCCTCCCTCTTGCCTCCCTCCATCCATCCACCTTCTCCTCTGTTCTCTCCATCACTGCTAACAACCCCTACCTCCGTTTTCCTTCTTTTCATTGTTTCTTCTGCTCATAAGAAATGTTCCCCACGTGTGTGACATGAACGCAGAGGAGAAGTGTGCAGCTCTGGGAATAAACAGGCTTTTATCTCCGAGTCCGACTGTTGGAATTTCACTCGTTTCTCACTCTTGTTGCCTTTCAGACACTTTAAATCGAACGAGCTGCTCACCGGCTCGCCAGGAAATCCTGGGAAATCAAAACGAATCGCCTCGAATTAGGAGCTGCTGCTCATCCTGGGCTGTCAGAATCCCAGTTTGAGTTATGAGGAAAAACAGCCATAATGAGTCTAAATGAGTCCAGAAATTAGATTCTTCAACTAATGGTTATTCAAGTTATCGATTGTCCTATCAATTATTTTGGCAATTCATTGATTAATCAGATAACAAACGGACACATTCTGCAGGTTTTTTAGGTGTTAAAATCTTGATTTCTGATTAAATCTTTAGAAAAACAGCAGTAATGAGTCTCAATGTCTAAAAAATAGGTTCTGCAACTGATGATTATTCTAGTTATTGATTGCTCTTTCTGTTATTCTTGATGATTAATCGATTAATCTGATCAAAAATGGACACACTCTGCAGATTTTTCATTTAACCATTTATGTTTATTTTATACAATATTATAAAACGTATTTATGTAGAGATAAATTAATTAGGAGCCACTGTTCCTCCTGTGGTGTCAGAATCTGGGCCTTAATGATTCACTCTTTGCTCTGAATTCAGGCCCAAATTATGTTGCTGCATAAAAAAGTTAGTTGTTTTCTTTTTTTAACAATTTGTGGGTTATGCTTTTCCAAATAGCTCTTATCAGTCATATTTTGTGTTCCTGATTTTTCTGTTATTTTCTGCTTTTAATCTTGTTGCTTTTGCAAAAAAAAAAAATCTATTAATTTGAACCATGTCATGATTTTTCTGATAACCAATTAATTTTTTTAGTTTTTTAGTTTTTCTTTAAATCAATTTATTTCTTGGTGTTGTTTTATCTTCCGTTTTGTTTTTAGTAATATTTCATGGTGCGCCATGTCCCCGCAGCTTTATTAAAAGTCTAATCAGATCTGCAGTACTTCTTCCACATTCACAGAAACGCTTATCTTGGCCATAAAACATCAGCAGTCATGTGGTTCTAATCCCAAACACGCTGCTTCAAATCATCCAAAAAGATTCAGATTTATGTTTCAAGATGATTGGGGAACATTTTGGATTTTTGCTCCATTTATTAAGATGCCTGTCATCTATAATTTGTTGAAGAATCGAGTCAAATGAGAAATACAACCAATAAATATGAAGCAGATTTTAGATCCTATAATTAAAACTCTGCATTTATTCAGGGGTTTTCCTGCCTGCGTTTAGATTTTTAGATGTTTCCATTTAAACCAGTTATTCTGATGTTCACAGGGAAACGGTAAAGCTTTAAACGGTCACTTTTTATCTGATGAAAAGCGTTTCTGCTGAAAGTATCGCTCAGAAAATAATCTTGTTAAACATCTGCTGACCTTCCAGAAGTGACAATGTGCTGCTTTTATCTGTAAGTCGGACAAAACCAGCACTTTCTCTGCACTCTGGTGAACTATTAAAGTGCCACTTTTCAGTTTTCTCATCACAGAATAATATTCTCCTCTTCTTATTTCTGCATATTGATCACTATTTCAGCTGTTTTCACATTAAAATCACTGGAGTTTCTCCTGCTGATTTCAAGGTTAATCAGATGGAGGAAAGTTTACTTTCTCATGAAAAGCAGCTCAATACTTAAATACTTTTTAATTCTTGGGTATTTTGCCTTTTTTATTGCTTTTACAAATCAGTTATGATTAACAAAAAAATTACAAAAACCCTTTAATGGCAAAGTGAACAGTTATTTTCAAAAATAGTTAAACAAAAATATCAAACACATTGCATCAAAAATAATAAAAAAAATATGTAAAATTTGAAATCAGAATTTTATAATTAAAATTAACACTTTAAGTCAAAGTTCAGGAAATAAAATCTTTATATTGCGCGTAATATTTTTGATGTTCAACCCAAAAGCGATTCTTGTTGCTATAAACTATTTCTGTATCCATTAGAAAAAATACAGGATTTTAAATCAGTTGCGTAATCACGTTTTGTGGACTTTGCTTTTTCGTATTTCTAAAAGATGTGAGTTTTACCCGTTAGTATGAAACTGGATAGGAGTCACTGGAATCCGGAGCGTCGCCGTACCGATCAATTTCAATCAATTCTCTCTGATTTTTCCATGAACTATTCAGTTATGATGTCACTCTGGACTGAATCTGCTCAGTATTGAGAAACGTTTTGATCTAACCATTAGCATGCTTTCTCTGTGGAATCATAAATTATATGCAACAGCTTTAAAGTTTCATTTTGATGTTTTTCATAGTTTTTACACAATCACAATTTAAATTTTTGATTTTTTTCTTCGGCTGAATGAGGAAGAGGAGGAGGAGGAGGAGGAGTGACCCAGTGAAATATTCAGAAACTTTTTTATTTAAACTCCGGTCACGCTCCCACTTTCTTCCCCACATATACAGTTTATACATTAACATGCAGGTATTTCTGTCTACTTTCACTCACTGCATCTTGCGTTGTTGTGTGACTTTCAGTTTTCTGTCAAATCAGTCCAGAGTGCAGAAAGTACACAGCCAGACTCTCATTCACTCCATTATATTTCAGGTTCTCCACACTTACCAAACAATTGAATGTGTTTTCTGCCTCTTTGGTGTTTAATGTGTGACATGTTTAAGAAAAATAAGTGTACTTTATGATTCATTAATAACCTTGCGACTAATAAACGTCATGCTGGGTTTTGTGCAAATTCATAGAATAGTAATCCGGTAATTATATTTCTCATGATAAAAAAAGTGAATTATTCTCGTCTGGAAACCAGTAATTCCTAGATATGAAAATTTTAATTTCCCTTTCTGAGCCCAGTTTGTGTTCTAACCTCCTGATACGAATCTCTTAATTTATTCAAATATTTTATTCAGATCGGTCTTTGTTGCTGCCGAACAGGCCGATATTAACATGAAAGAGAGAAAACAACAACAGAACATTTTAATTTCGGGGGTTTTCTTTCTCTTTACAGATAATGTGATTCATTACTGGCTGCGACTCGACATGTTTAGCGCAGTCTCCGTGTTTCTGTGTGAATCTGAACACGTCCCTTAATGTGAGAGATCACAGCAGATGATTCTCTGCGTTTGTTGCTGGGTTTTTTTATTCGTTTTTAGCTTTGTTTTTGTTCCTTTTGCAACCATTAAACTGTTTGTGGCTTCAGCTGATATGGAGAAGCCTTA